TTAGCACATAGTATTGGAATTAATTTACAACATTCAATGGTATGACATTCCTCATTATGCCCCGCTTCATTAAAAGTAGTTTTGAGATATTGAGTATCCATTTTGTTGCTCGTTTTGACACACATATAACACAGCTACTGAGAGCTGAAAATCGTCCTTGCTGAAGTTCACAAGGAGATGCAATGTCTGGAAGACGTTTTCAGAAATAATGCTCTGTGCAGTGCAAATCCCAACGGGTTTGTTTAGAAAACCTCTCTCAGCTCACTAAAGAGAACTTCTAAAAAGCGTTAATTTGTGCTGCTGCTGCTTTGAAACAAATTCTGGCTTCTTCTAAATATTTATGTTCACAAGAACTGACTTATGTCCCTCCTATGATGGTTGCCCTCTCATCAGTGTAGGTTTTTTCGTGAGGCTAAATATCTTTAAAAAAAAACATTCATAATCATGCTAACTGAGACTAAAGACGCGAGCAAACAACCAAAACCCAGCAATAACCCATAACCAAAGTAACTCATTTTCCCAAAGCTGTACGAACAACATCTCTGCTCTGAAAGGCAACTTCAGAGTACAGTGAAGTACAGAAGTACCAGAGCGGTCGTGCGGTCCCTTCTGGTAAGCTCAGCATCAGAATCCCCAGCAGAACCTCTGCTCCTGAAATACAGATAGAACATACAGAGCAGAACAAAGCAGCGTCTCATCCTTTCTGAAAGTCTTGAGCTATTCATCACATTTCTTGGTACTGCCACCACCAGCTTCTTTTCATCAACTGCTTTACAGTCATTCTGGTAATTGCCTGTTACCCATTTCCACACCGCCGCGTTATTCATTGTTTCCAGCAACTCCACAGACCCCGTTTTTATGCCTATGGATTATACACAGCACACAGTAATTTCATCTTTGTTTCCACGTGGTTTAATCACAATTTAATTTCAATTCAGGTAACACATTAGGATTTCCCTGGGTTAGACACAGTTCAGTAGAAGTTGTTTCTCTTTTTCCAGTGTTACATTAAAAACATTCAAATTAAAAACACTGGAATTGAACAAAGAAAGTAAAAGCTTAATTTTCATAAAGAAAACAGGGATGAAGAGAGAAATCTTATTTCTTTCTCTTGAGATAAGCATTCCCAATATTTTCCCCAACGCAAAACAAAGCCCTTTAGGTTGAAGTAACTTTAGAATGAGCAACTCATGTTATCCTGCCTTCAGTTCAAAACGTTTAATGAACTGCTTAAAACATGAATTTCTCAGCATGTATGTAAATTGAGAAAAAAAGAATATCTTCTCAGTTATAAATTAGAGCTTTATGAATTTCTCTATGGAAAAACCCCCTTTGCCATCACAATACAAAACGTGTGCTTACTCATTCCAATTCGCTAATGACAAAAGCAACATTGCTTTTAGGAAAGCAAAGCACAAAACATTTCTAAAACGTTGTTATGAAAGAGAAAACCTTTTATTCGAAGCACATTGTTTCGATGGTTTGTAATGTCTCTAAAATGTAGATTATTTCCGACCTCTTCTTGACTTTGAGCTTTAAAACCAATGTAATAGGTTTGATATTTTCTAAGAATCCTGACAGTTCATTTCTGTCATTTCAGCCTCTAAGACAAATTGTTTGTAATATCCATTTTGTTTCATGTTGGTATTTAGTTGTGTTTGGAAATTCCTTCCAAAATCCCCCAAGTCTCACATAAAGAAAACTGAGAAAATGGTTTTGAGATCAGTCTGAGGGTTTTCTGTGGCTCCTTTGAACCCCATCCTGAGGGACACAGAGGTGCATTACCGACCTTTAGATGGAAGGGAAGAGAAAGAACAGTGACAGCATTTTTTGAAAGAGCCTCTGAAAAAAAACCTTTGTATCACATCGCGCCGAGTGTCCCACACTTCTGCGTTGGAAATTCATGTGGTTTGACTGAAGGAGTGCTGTCATCTCACAGCAATCTCTATTGGCTTCCCCACACAGCACTGCAGACGCAATGCTTCTAAAGGAGAGGACCACCACATGTGCTGCCCCTAATACAGGGAGGATATGGGGCAGAAAGCTGAGTTTGTATGAGCAGCAGTGGTAACAGAACTGCCAGCAGCACAGCTGGACCCAGGAGTGCCAAGGGCTGTGGCTCATCCCAAACAGGGCTGTACAGTCACCTCCCCAAGGGACACAGAGTCCCCATGCTCCCTTCTCACAGAAGAAGAATTCAGTGAAGAAAACCAGAAATAGTGCTAAACAAGGAAACAGATGAGGTGCTGCCAGTACCTAGAACCCTGGAATGGGATGGGATTTTTCCCATCTTCACTACTTTCACATGGAAAGGTTATGGTGGTTGCCATGAACTTCAGCATCCTTCTGACTAAACCACAGACTTCAGAAGTTGTTGCAGAATTTCTGTGCTTTTAAATAAAACACACCATGAGCACAAATGAAACTTGTAAAGCACAAATGGTCAGTGGCAGACATCCGCATGGCACTCCCTGCCAGCTCACTGGGACCAGCTCCCCTCACCCCAGGAGAAAGCAGAGGTGCCACCCTCACCACTGCCTGGGTGCTTCTGCTGAGCCTCATGGAACCAGGAAGGGCACAGGGAGCTGTGCTGAGTTCTGGAGCTCAGAGCACAAGCTTTGTTCAAACTGTAGGGTGTTATATGTGGTTGGTAGCGCTGCAAATCCAGATAGAGTAACTACGTGCTTCTCTCTGATCTGAATTCTTTTTGTTTATATAGTATTAGATTTATCTATATTTAAATATTTAGTTTCTGGAAATCATACAGTGTATGATGCCATACATACAGCACACATTCTGAGTTACAAACCCACTGAGTTAAATTACATTTCCCATTTAAAGGAGATCTGGATCCACTCTCTCCCAGTTCAACCCTGACAAGGGCTGTCCTTGGAGCCACCCCTGGGCCCTGCCATGGGCTGGAAGGCACAGAGCTGGCACTGAGGCACTCCATGTGTGCGCTGCCCCATGGAGATGGAGCAGATTGGCAAAGTTTTGCCATTTTTTTTTCTGTGGTGCATTTTAGTATGATTTGCAGGTGCCTTTTCCATAAGGAACACGCTCGGTTTGTGAGCTCTTTGCTGGGGGGAGGGGGTACTTCAGAAAAACGGAGTTTCTTGATGGTTCCCAAAAGCATCATGGATGGGTGCCTAATGAATAGAA